ACATCCAGTGAGTGGGAGCTCATTTTGGTTGTTACCAAGCATGGTACTCGTTCAACAGATAGAAGACTGAGCTAGCCAGTCATCCTGAAGATGTCAGTCTTTCTAGGGTGTAAATTTTTTAAAAGCAGTGTCTTTTACAATGACACATTCTGGTTTTTATTTTGTGTTCAGGATAAAAATGTGTGTGACCTTGGTAGAATAAAAGAAAAAAAAAAGTACAAGAACAAATTCCATTGCATAAAAGTACATCTGAAAAGTTAAATAAAAAATCCTTTCCTGGAGATTAAGTCTGCTGGCTTTCTCCTCCCTTTTAAACACACTCTTTACATGATGCTTAAGCTTTCAAGTCAAAGTTACGAGGTGCTTTAGCCAGGCTTGAGCCTGAGAACAAGACCCGAACCAGGACAATAACAAAATGACACAAAGATTGACTTCACCGTGCTTGCTGGATGAAGTGAAAACTGCTGAAATATAAATCCTATATCCTGGGATTTCACTGCCTGCTGGAACTAATCTCATTAACTTAAAACCACCTGAGGCTTAAGAGACATATACACTGCTGTGAGAAATTATATTTATCTCGTCCTAGGGGGAAATCCTTTTCCTCCCCCAGCTTACCTTACTTTTGACTTTGTCATTCTTGAATTACCAGGTCATTTCTCCCCCATGGGAAAGTCGTCATAGCTCACAGCAATGCAATTACTGTATCTGAAGTTCACTGTTGTATGAATGCTGAGATCACTGTTTGAGGTTTTTCTTAAATAATTTCCTAAAGAAAACAAAGACTGGAAAAATAATAGGTTAGCAGTTTACTTAAACAAAGTTCCTCCGGAGCTACAGGAAAAGATTCCAGAACTAAAAACACAGAATAAGGAAAACAGCTTACTGAAAACATTTAGGTGTTTATTGCCTTTGTAAACCAAACACTGAGTTTTCTTTAACCATTACAGTTTAAGAGATTGGTGGCCTCTGATAACTGGTAATTGGATGCAGAAATTTCAGATGTAAGGTTGCAGTTTGAAATCCCATAAGTGTTGCTAGTGAGAGCTCTCTAGTTGTGTTGTTGATTCCTGCACTCCCATTTGGATTGAGACTAGATCCCAAATCTGCATTCCATATGAAACCCAGCCAGTTCCTACTTATTCTGTTTGATATGGGAGGATTTTGGATGAAGCCTTATTTTTATAATCTTGTTGGACTTTGCAGCAAGGCAAAATGACCCTGGTTCAAGTGTCTTTTAGTGTGTGTCTAATCCTGAAAAAAAAAAAATCAATTTTGAGTTATCCATTAAACAGCTCAAATATAAAAGGATATTAAGATGAAAAGTAATGTTAAAGCAGAGTGAGTGTTGAAAACCAAGCTGTAAAAGCCTGATCTGTGAAATGCAGAAAGCCTTATCCAGTGAAAGCTTTTTGTGGTGAGCCTGGCCCTTGGTGTGCTGCTTCCAGAAGGGAGCCTGGATTATGTTAGTGTTGTGAAGGTGGAAGTTATTTGCAGTGAAATGGAGGTGCCAGTTTTTATGACTAAGAGAACTGACCACTGAGAAAAATGACACATCTTTTCTGTAAATTCCTGTTCAGCTCAAAGGATCGCTTTTGGATTTGAATGACAAGTCTGTCAAAGTTCACAGTTCATGAAGTTACCAGTGGCTCATTGGCTCTGAGTCAGCATTTCGACAACCAGCCATTTAAAATGTCCAGTGTTGATAGCTTATAGGCACAACAATAAATACAGTTGCAATTCAGTCCAATTAAAGTAATAAAAATGAGAATACAAGACTCTGTTTCATCCTCATGGGACGAGTGGAGAGCAGGGCATAGGAAGTTGCTTTGCAACGCTCTTGTCAGTGTTCTCTACCCAGCCCAGATGCAGCACCTTGCACTTGTTTTTGTTGTGCCTCAAGAGGTTCCCCTGGGTCCACTTCTCAATGTCCTTGGCTGGGTACAGCAGTTTATTGAGTGAACTCTGTAAGCAAGGCAATTTTGAAGTTAAAGTTGAAAAACCAGGAGCAAATTATAGTGAGCACTCCAGTGTTTTAATAGATTTTGTTGTTCTGTGATATTTAACTGTCTTTGGGCATTCGAGTGATCCAGTCTGTTAAAGTAAATGCCCCATTAAAGATATTTAAGGGCCTACAATGAAGTGTATAAGAGCAAATAGCTAAGTGCATTAATGTGTCTGGCTGAGAACTCCGTGTGACTATAGTGCTAATTATGTGTTGTTGTGATCTTGTCTAGATGAAAGTGAATTTGGTCAAGTGTTTTTGTTTAATTTTATTGAGAAATGAATAAATGGTTATGGCTATTGTGTTGCTAAGAATAGAGTCTGTAGTGGTGAATAGTCGCTGAACTCGTGTACATTCCTTTTCATAAATGAGTACAGCATATTCTGGTTTATTTAGTGATGGACAGGCTGTTAGTTCTTAAAATAGCTAAGGAGTGGGAACCCAACACCTTGAATGATTTATGTGTTTTCTTTGTAAGCTTGTTTCTGTTTTGTAACCTTTAAAATGTGGGGTTTATGAGTGGTATCATTAAAATTTATACTCCCTCTAGTATGTGATGTTAGTCATTATTGCTCTGCTGTACCTCCAGATCACCTGTCTGAATTATAAAACAACCTTCCTTGGAGCTAAATAGTAATTTTTTTCCCAAATACTTGTTGACTGCATTATTTTTCACTGGTGCTCCCTTACTGGAGCACAGGCCAAAATCTGGCCGTGTCTGCTTTCCCCCCAGATGTGAGAGGTTGCTTAGGAGTAACTGTGTATATCTAGGAATGAAATACGAGGGGTCTTTTAACTTGGGAGATTTGATATCAGTCAGAAGAAACTGCTAGAGAATTTGTTTTAAAGTGTACTCTGGGTTTTTTTTTGGTTAACTGAGATTGATATGCTCAGTAAGTGATTTAATGTTGTGCTGGGCTTTGTGACGCTAATTTAAAAGTGTTTCAGCCAAGAGTGAACCTTCAGTAAGAGAACAAAGAAAAGCTAATACAGAAAGTGAATCACAGTCCTTGTTTTTATCAACTGAGACTCTTTGAAAGATCATACACACCAGGAAGGATATTGCGAACGATTGCAAAGTTACACCTTTGATCTGCATCCTTAACTTGAAGGTGCCAAAAAGGTTTCTTCTAGGAAACTCCACAATACTCTAAAGAATTGTGCTTTTTAAACAAATTAATCAAATGAAAAGTGAAAGTTTTCCTTGAGCTCTGGATTGCTGCACTGGTTCTCTGAGGGCTGTCAGGCAAACTGCTCTGTAACTCATGAAGATGATCCATCTCTCTCTTCTGTTTTTCAAGAAATGGATGATCTTTATTCATGGCTTATGTAGACAGATTGTCGAGCAGATTGTGGCATAGATTAATTCATGGCAGACTCCCGGAACATGACTTACTAGCCAGCTTTCATACAGAGGTGAGAAGGAGTTGTTTTCTGACCAGTATTAATGCAGATGTTTTAGTATTTTCAAACCAAGCCTGTTTACCTAGAAATCAAATGGAGTCCAACCATTCAACCAGCACTGCCCCATGTCCCCAAGTGCCACATCTGCAAGTCTTTTAAATGCCTCTTGGCAGGGTGGTTCAACCTGGGCAGCCTGTGCCAGGGCTTGACAGACCTCTTGGTGAATTTTTTTTTTCCCCCCTTTATATCCAGTCTAAACCTCCCCTGGCACAACTTGAGGCAGTTTCCTCTTGTCCTTTTGCTTGTTATTAGGGAGAAGAGATTGATCCCCTCCCAGCTACAGCCTCCCCTCAGGTAGCTGCAGAGAGTGATAAGGTCTCCCCTGAGCCTTCTTTCCTCCAGACTAAACCAACCCCAGCTCCCTCAGCTGCTCCTCACAGGACTTGTTCTCTTGTCCCTTCACCAGCTTCATTGCTCAGAAGAGGTAGGATTGCATGCAAAGAGATGGAATTCAGCCTTCTCTTAGCAATATGAGAGGTTTGGAGATTTTTGTGTCTATGTGTTTGGGGTTTTTGTTTGGTTTTTTTTTCTTTCCCCACAAAAAATGTACTGTTGTAATACGAATGTTTTACTGATGTTAACAGAGGATAAAATACTAATTTCAGTGCAGCCTGAGGCTACCATGATATATGCAGTGCTGTCATCTAGTTCCATTGATAGATATGTGATATAGTACTAGAAAACAAGTTTGAACAACAAAAAATGTGTTATTGTTGGAAAATGTGAGAATGAAACATCTCGGATTAGAGTAAGTGCACTAAAGCGTTAGATCCTCAAGCCAGTGGCCTCTTCCTGAAATGCTCGGTATCACGCTGCACACATCGTTAGTTATTGAAATTCCTTGTCTGTTTCTGTTCCCAGAATGATCATTCTCTCAATATTTGCAAGGCAATTTTCCTGTCATGTTACAATTTTCCCTATTTATTTTTGTTATAAACAAAACGTGAGCATCTGAGTTTCCTGCATTGAACGCTTCAAGCAGCTGGAAGGGAAGCTCTGTGGGCTTGAGCTCCTGCTATCAGCTAAGGTGTATTTGAAGCCTTGTTCTCTCACCACACACATTGCAACCAGAGTTTGATTAAAGTAATACTATCAGGTTGAACTTTAATTTTCTCTGTGGTACTTACACGTATTTTATGTGTGAAGTCTGCTCACGATTTTAATGTCAGTGATGTGGTGAGGGAGGTGTAGGAAGAAGAGCTGTGATGCTGATTAGAGGAGGCTGAGTTGAGTTTTTCATAGGGTTAATGCTTTCCAAATTGGAGGATGCAAGATTGAAAGTGAAGGGCACGCTCCTTGTTGAGGGAAAGTGGTGGAGTGATCCTGATGCAGAATCTCATTAAAGCAACTGTCAGGATTCCTCTCTTTTACCATCACCTCCCCTATTCTATAAGAGCCAGCTGTCGTTTGGAGTGAGCACACTGCCAAAGATGCATTTACAAATAAATGAAAAATGTCACAATTGATTTTGCTCCTTTCAGGGGACTCTGTGTCAGCTTTGTCACAAACCCTTTGTTATTCTCCCTTTCAGGTCTCTTGTCTGGACTTTGGAAATAACTTTGGATGGTTCTGGGATTCTTTCTGTTGACCCAGGGTAAGCTTCCTGGATTATGACTTTTTATTAACATTTGTGCAACAGTTAAATAACATTGACTTTTCAGCGCTTATGAAGGATGAAATGCTAGAAATTCTTACCAATTAACCTGATGAGTGTGTATGGAAGCTGTATAGTACAATCCATTGCTGGAGAATAGCAGAATGGATTTATTTCCTAGTTTCTTCTATAGAAGTATTTGTGCACTGGGGTAATTACTTTGCAAAATTTTTCATGCAGCAAGCAGTACTGGCCACATAAAATATGAATAGCTGTGTGGTTTTATTTGTTTCTAAAGAATAGTTCTAAGTTTGATAGTTTTCTTCAATATTTGTAATTTCTCCCTCTTTCACTGTATGTTTTATGGTTATTATAGTGGATATTGCTGCTTGTAAGCAGATCAAAAATTTAGTTGTTTTTCTTATGTATTTGCTGGCTGGGTAAGTGAACCTAATGCACAATATCAGTTCTACTCCTTTTAATGCAAAAGGATTAGCACAGGAATGGATATCTGTTGAAATGTCATTTTAAGCAGTACTTGAGATGGTTTAGATACAGCAAAGTATCTAAACTACAATCACATCTAATGAAAACGTCTTATTTCCTCCTTGAACTTCAGGTTTTGAGATTGCAGTCAAAAATATAGAGTGTTTTACAAAAGCTGCTGTGAAAGAAACTTCATGAACTTCTCTAGAAATACCCATGATCCTTTAAATAGGAGCTGAGGTTTGACAGACCTGGTGCTACATCTGAGAGCAGTGTTTGTCCTTTTTGTGTTTGATGTCTGAGAAGTGTAACCTGCAAATAGCAGTAGGACAGGAGTTTACCGCTTTCCACTAACGACAAGAAATGATTTCACACTGTACAGAAAGAATTGTTTTGGGATGTTTTGTGTGTTTCTGAAGGGATTCTTCAGAAATGATTCACGCGCATTTTGGAACCTGGCAAACAGCACAAAGTTTCTGTTTCAATGCACGCTATGTTTTGTCACAGCATATCCTAAAACCTCGCTCTGTTTTATCACTTTTGCTAACAACAGATTTTTAAAAACAGAGGAGCTGAAGAAAATCACTTTGTCCCTTTTGTACTCTGGAAACTGCTAGGAAATTGGGGAAGGAATTGGACTCTTCCAGGGAAAGCAAGAACAATTTACAGTGTTACCTGCCCTATATAGAGGTTTTGTTTCTGTTCATCTTTTATCTGGGATTGTAATGTGGCTTGATTAGCTCTACTAATTTCTTTGCATTGGTGTATGAATATTTGTTATCTGTTTAAGCATTTTTAATGCATTGCATTTCATAGCTGGTTTTTACAGTTCTGATATACCTTTGGCTTAATTAAAATTAGAAGTGTTGAGTCAGCTTTAAAACAAATTTCAAAAGTAATATTTAAAATAACCATTAAATTTCCTGAAAGTTTAGAATTTTTATTTTTGTTCTTTTAGCTAGAAATCAAAATTTGTTAACTACAACTTCTAAAAAACACCTTTAATTTGTACTTTGGACACTATTTCATTTGAGACAAAGCTCTCTAAGGCAATCTCTAATACTCTGTTATCAGCAGTGGGCTGTCCAATCTTGCTTTTCTGCTGTTTGCATTAGAAGAAAATCTGAGATGTGAATCTACAAAGACAGAAAATTAATTTTGGCAATGTGAAAACTGATGACATAATTTCAAGGAATGAACCGGACAGTCCAAGGCTGTTATTTCTGTAATTAATTAATATAACTGTAAACAGAGATGGAAAGAAGGAAACCTGGGATGAAATAAAAGTAGAATTCTTTGCTATTAGGCCTGTGCAGTCTGCAAACTCCACCCTCCCATTTGACTTTTACTTATACAGTCAATTGTTTTGAGGTAAATCTAAATAGAAATCTGTAGCATTTCACATTTAAATGGGGCATGAACTTAGGAGTAAAGCAGTGCTGCAAAGGCCGATCTAGAACACTTCTGAAATGCCTTGAGACAAAACTATGTTTAAATATGACTTGGCAGATTTGCAGAAGCTTAGACTTTCACTCACCAAATTTCCCAACCGAGTTTGATAATGTTACTGATGTTGACTTGTCCCAGCTTCTTCTGCAGAGATGGGGCATACTCTGATCCATACTGATGCACATGTAAATCGATGTCTGCCAGCTGATTGCATATATGGGAATTAATTCCATATATTGGTCTGAATCATGAGATTTTTCTGAAGTGCTGGATGTCCCTACAAGCAATGGATGAAATGTGCTGGCTGGCAAAGTCACCGTGAGTTAGAATATAACTTTAGTGGGAGATCGTTTAAGATTTCCATCCAGCAAATAGCAAACATAGATTAATTAAAAAAGGAGAAACATGTGAACACCACCACTGCTTACTTTTAGCTCACTAAGGAACCTGCAAATAAGGAATGAGCCTAGGAAGAACCAAAGGGATTTGCTCCAATGAGAACCCTTCCTGGAAGTGGGCCAGAGACAGTGCTATGCCGCTAATGCAGGTTTCCAGTAAACTTAATTTCAACCAGGAGCAAAGGAATAGGGAGGTGAACTAAGAGCTCTATCTTTCTGCATCAGTTTCTGTTCTTAAACTGTAAGAGAAAATGTTTAACTGATTGTGGTCCATCCTGTTCTGTTCTTCCCCCAATAGATTTTGCTACTCACGATGACAGTTGTTCAGCTTTTGAACCCAGAGTATTCCTGCAACCTGTTTTCATACCCAAATGTCTCTCTTCCCTTTTAAATTAGTAAAGGTGCTGTATTTCAAAGTCATGGGGACGTGCTGGTCTCATATTTTAGCAGGATTAATCACAGACCTTTCCCAGTGCCCAAATACATGACTCTTCATGGAGCAAGATGGCTTTTCTATATATGAAGAAAATGTAGTTGAAGTAGGGGGAGGAGGGCAGGGAAGTAAGGGAAAGATAAGATTTGGAGGAGTTCTCGTTCAATGAGTGTGTCAGTTAAGTTATTACAATTATTTAGGTTATTACAATTTATTACTTTTAGAAGATACATTTAAAATCCTGAAAATCATTCCTCTTTAAAAATCATGCTCAGCGCCTCTTCAGACTTGCACCGTGTTATTCCTTAAGTGTGTGTGTTATTCCATTGACTTCAGGAAGGTCACTCATGCAAAAAAGAAATTGTTACTCATCTCTTTGTATCTGAGACTCTGCTCTGTGCTGCTGCCACCTTTCAGCTGTTAAACCATTATCCAACTGGTTTCCTCTGAAGTGTTTTGTGTTGGTGCTTTATAAATAGCAAGTGGTGTAATAGAACTCATAGCAGAAAGGACACATAAAAAAGAAGACAATGCTAACAAACAATTTGCAGCTCCTCATTGACATGGCTGAATGAGTTGGTTTTAGGTAATTTGCTATTCAAACAGGAATAATAAGGTAAAATGCGATTTGCTTGTTTTCATTGTGGCACGGTGGTCAAGCCTGAACCACTTAATTTTAGGGAGTGGGGCAGGGCAAAGGAAATTGCTAATCACTTGGTTAATTGATCATTCTCTCACAGTTGCCTCTGACTGTAATGTGTTAATGATGGTCTGAGAGATTAACCACCAGAAAATCACTGAAACTGCTCAGGAACATACCATGAAGTAGTTTAATACTGAAATGGTTCAATTGCTGCCAACTCAGCAGAGCAAAGGCAGGGGAGGACACTCAGGTTTTGAACCCCCAGAAACCTGAGTCTTTAGTCAAAACAGTAACTTGAAATGCATGTGGTGTGATCACCTCTGCATGCTCTATTTGAGGGTGCAGGGAAGTGTCTTTGGCTACATTTCCTCGAGTCATTATTTTAGCAAGAGCATCTTGGGAATATTGTCAGCACTGAAAAGCATTAACAGGACCTAATGCATTTTAATTTTTCTCTATGAAATTGCAAGTGGGGTTGCTTTTATTTTTTTTGTGTTTCCTAGAACAAAATTGTTTGAAATTCCATTCAGAATCAGTTCCCAAGTTCATATGGCCTCATATAGAGTGGAATTATGTAAGAAAATCAATGCATTGCCATTGAGTTAATATATTGGCTACGTTTGATAGGCATGTCCCTAGGTTTCTTTCAAAATTATAGCTACAATTTGAGTGCTGAATACAAATCCTGTGAGGCTTCTGTAGCTCTAGAAACAGGTTTTGCAAACTTGTCACTGTTTCCAGTGGTCTCCAGTAGAGCAAAGATTTCACACAAAGTCTTCATATCAAGGAAACAAATACAGCCTTTAATCCCCCATCTGTTGTTAGGGGTATTCCCTTATTTTCCACTGTTTTTGGGAAGAATTTGGCTCAATGTTCTTGAGTTAAGTATAGAGACATAATTAGGATTTTTAACATTAGTGAAAGCTTGACTTGCATGCAGGAGGTAGATTGTGACAGCCTGCTATGCCGTACTAAAGTGACACATAAGTAGAGCAATGTTTTCATCAACAGAAGCGTGTTGCTGTTTAAAGTTGATTCTCTCTGTAGGGTGCCATAAAATAATTAGGAGACCATAACATAATCCTTCAGTATTGCATTAATTCCTTAGAGGGATGAATTCATCTTTTCTGACTGCAGTAGTGCACAACTGACCATGGAAAAACTAAACTGTAAAATCATCGGTAAAAAAAAAAAAAAAAAGAATTGTTTTTCTAGACTAGCATATTTATTTTACAAAACTCCTAAAAGTCTCATACTTCTAGTGATTTTTGCTCGTAGCAAACTGGAAGTGAAAGTATTTATCTTAAAATTAAAAATCGACATGGAATGCTGTGTTCTTTGCCTTAAAGAAAACTGCATGTAAAATATTTGTCTTCTGTGAGGACTGAAGACTATTAGAAGAGCTGTGCCAAGACAACAGGGATCTCTTCTGTTACAGATGGTGTAAACTAACACAGTGATGGCCTCATACGGTCAATTTTAAGGATGACAATTTTGAGCAGCTTTTTTTCCTGGCAGTGAATGGAGAGCTGGGTTTATATAGTAAGACAGCGCTACAAGTTGGGTTTTTCTTGGATTTTTATTTTTATTT